CCTCGCGAGCGGTTGCTTTGGGTGCGATCCCCGGGCTGCGCGAGGGGGTTGTCGACCCTCAGGACGAGGGGTCTCAGCTGGTTGCGCTGCTGCTGGGCGCAAAGCCGGGCGAGCACGTCGTCGACTACTGCGCGGGCGCAGGCGGCAAGACGCTCGCGCTCGCGGCGCAGATGCGCAACAAGGGGCGGCTGGTTGCGATGGACGTCGATCACGCGCGACTCGAGCGCGGGGCGCCGCGCCGCAAGAAGGCGGGGGTGGACAACGTGCAGACGCACGTCATCGAGCAGGGCAAGGACAAGTGGCTCAAGCGACGGAAGCGGACGTGAGGCAGCCCCCGCGCGCCTCCCACAACGCGCCGTCCACCGCCCGCGTGGCGGATCCGGTCGCCCCGCCAACCCTCTCCCCGCCACCCCTCCTCCACCCGCCTCCCCTCCCCGATGCAGCTTCGACCGGGTACTCGTCGACGCGCCTTGCTCCGGCGTCGGCGCCTGGCGGCGCAACCCAGACGCCCGCTGGCTGCGCCGGACGCGTCCCATAGAAGAGCTGCTTCCCGTGCAGGCGGAGGTGCTGCAGCGCGCCGCAAGGCTCGTCCGTCCAGGCGGCACTCTGGTTTACGCCACCTGCTCGCTGCTGCCCGAGGAGAACGAGGCGCAGGTCGAGGCTTTCCTGGCCTCGGCCGACGGGGCCGAGTTTGAGCTCGCGCCACCGGAGCACTTTGGTGCGCCCTTCGACGACGGCTACCTGCGGCTCAGCCCCGCGAGGCACGGTTGCGACGGGTTCTTTGGCGCGGCGCTCGTTCGGTCGGAGGGAGGGTGGACCCGAAGGGGGAGACGCACGGCTGGTGCTAGCTGCTAGTACAGAGTAGCGCTGGCATGACAGTGACGCGCATATTCTCAGCGAAATGTCCAGCTCTGAGGCACCTCCGGAGGCAGGCCGCCGCACGCCGGCGACACAGCTCCAGCTGTCAAACTGACCCGCAGCTCCTCTCAGAGCGGGAACTGTGACGAAAGTTGACTGAGGCGGTTGTCAGGAATCATCATACGGATCACATGGTGGCTCTCTCATGACGCCCAGTAGTTATGGAACATTATCGATCAACACTTTTGATAGACCGAAAGTAAGATCGTTGGTGCAGAAACCCCGGCCATGCCCATGTAACGCAATTGTGCTCGATTTTTTGGTAGAAGTGTCTCCAAGTCTTCTGGACCCATCGATGGCCGTCGCCTCGACGCCGCTCGTCGCGGCACCATCGTGCCCGGCCTGGGCGAAGCATCGTCGCGGGCGCCAGCCTGGGTTCGTGATTTCACATGGAAACAGCGAATCGGTTTCACTTTCACTTTCACTTCACATTTCATGTGAAACGAAATTTCACTTTTTCGAGCGAGTGTGAAGAATCGTGTGAACGTGAATGATGACGGATGCTCCCACCGAGTCGTCCGACACTCTGACACTCACTTGCACAGGTGTTGGCTCCCAAGCAGCAGCCAAGATGAAGGAGGCTGGAGATATTGGTCTCGCTGAGCTGATGTGTACACTAGACCTATATGAATCTCATGGCATGCTCTGGGCGAATACGGTGCCGATGGTGGGATGAACTCTCTCAGCAGTCGAGAGTCGACTCTCGACGCATCGGGAGGCGCGGCCGCTGCGGTGTAGGGGCGGCGGCGAGCTCCCGGTTGCAAATACTCGCCTCACAGTCCAAGATGGCGGCTCGCGCCCCCATCCGCGCACCAGCGTGCCACTCTAGCCCCGCCTGCCGCCCAGATACCGAGGGCGGGGCGCACTCTTCGACTTGGGCTATTATTTGCCACCGGGAGGGCGGCGGCGGCGGTGTAGGGGCGGCGGCGAGCTCCCGGTTGCAAATACTCACCTCACAGTCCAAGATGGCGGCTCGCGCCCCCATCCGTGCACAAACGTGCCACTCTAGTCCCGCCTGCCGCCCAGATACCGAGGGCGGGGCGCACTCTTCGACTTGGGCTATTATTTGCCACCGGGAGGGCGGCGGCGGCGGTGTAGGGGCGGCGGCGAGCTCCCGGTTGCAAATACTCGCCTCACAGTCCAAGATGGCGGCTCGCGCCC